GTTGTTATAAGTCTGAAATGGCTCCATGGCACCTAACAACAACATCATCACTCATAAGATTCATGGAAATACTTCAAGTAAATGGCCTTTTAACCATGGCCAGTGTTCTGATACAGTGAAATGTATGTATGTCTTTCTTTATTTTTTCCCCCTAATAATTTCCTTTCCTTTTTCTTTCATATTGTGAATAGTACTAAATCATTGGGACAGTGTCTCAAAACTTTAGTCATGGAGAAATGCTATCCAGTGAACATATAATAGTGAAACTCATAAAGTGTAACAGCTGGTCCTCCTTGTTGGGAAAAATCAGACCACCTGGCAGTGAAGATGAACCTGAAAATCAGGAGAGACATTTGAGGTGAGTGTAATTCAAATAAGAGGATACAGTGTCTCAGGAGAAAGTCCTAAGGTATATGACATTCATTTAGCTTTAAAATTATGTGTTCAGAGACTTTTCACAATACATTTTCATAAATGTGAGTCAGGTATTGACTACTGGAAACATATGTTACTTGTACACAGTTATCTAAAGATCTCATATTTTATAACCAACAGTAACAGTAATGGTAGTATATCTGCTAGATGATTTAACTTGTGAAACATGAGACAACTCAAGGAAGAAACAATGCATGCTCAGCATTTGGTATTGGTGAAATGAGAACAAATTTACTTCCAACAGCATGTTACATATTTTTCACAGAAGGAAAATAGTACTGATCCTCCATGTAATAAGGAAGGCAATCAGTGTGGAAAAACCTTCAGCCAGATTTCAGATCTTACTATGCCAAAAAGAAATCCTCCCAAAGTATGTCCTTTTGAACACTGTGAGTGTGGAAAAGCCTTTATAGAACACTCATCACAAAAGCATCATACTAGATCTTTCACTAGGAGCTCTGGTAGCATAGTGCCTAAGGCACTTGACTGCTAACCAGAAGGCTGGCAGTTCAAACCCATCAGCCACTCCTGGGAAGGAAGATGGGGCAATCTACTTCCATAGTGATACTGCCTCGGAAACCCAAGGAGGGATCGCTATGAGTCGGGTTCGACTCGATGGCACACAACAACAACAACAGATCTTTCACTGGCAGTAATACTTGTCAGTTTAAGAAATGTGGAGAAGCCTACAGTTGTCATTCTTACATGAGCCCTCCTACAAGAATTCTCACTGGAGATAAGCCCTACAAAAGTAAGGTATGTGAAAAAGACTTCATTTGTATCTCAACCTTTAAGAATCCTGTGACAATTATTAGAGAAAATAACTATGAAGGTAACACATGCGGGAAAGAGTCCTGTAGTTTCTTATCCTTTGGCAGACATGTTAGTGGTTATAAACATGAATGTAAAAACTGCTTTAAAACCTACTCACCTTCGTTTCTACTTTTACCTGAAATTTTCCATAATGGATATAAACCTTATGAAGGTAAGGAATGTGGGAAAGCCTTTATTAGTTCCGCACATCTCACTCAACATATAAGAACTCACAGTATGGAGAGGCCTTATGAATGTAAGGAATGTGGGAAAACCTTTAGTCAGTCATCACATCTCACTACACATTTAAGAACTTACAGTGGAGAGAGACCTTATGAATGTAAGGAACGTGGGAAAGCCTTTACTCAGGCCTCATCCCTCACTATACACATAAGAATTCATAGTGGAGAGAAAGCTTATCAATGTAAGGAATTTGGGGAAGCTTTTAGTCATGCCTCAGCCCTCACTAAACATAAAAGAATCCACAGTGGAGAAAGACCGTATAAATGTAAGAAATGTGGGAAATCCTATAGTGATTCCTCACAACTCACTACACATATAAGAACTCACAGTGGAGAGAGGCCTTATGCATGTAAGGAATTTGGGAAAGTTTTTAGTCATGCCTCATCCCTCCCAAAACATGTAAAAACTCATAATGGAGTAAGGCCATATGAATGTAAAGAATGTGGGAAATCCTTTAGTGGTTCCTCATACCTCACAGTGGACAGAAACCATATACCTGTAAAGAATGTGGGAAAGTCTTTAGACAGTCCTCAGACCTCACTATACATAAAAGAATTCACAGTGGAGAGAGACTTTATGAATGTCAACAATGTGGCAAAGCCTTTCATCATGCCTCAGCCTATATATACATATGAGAGGCCTTATGAATGTAAGGAATGTCAGAAAGCCTTTATTTGTTCCTCATTACTATCTAATCATATAAGAATCCATTGTAGAGAAAGACCTTAAGATTGTAAACAATATGGAAATGTCTTTAGGCAGTCCTCAAATTTCCCCTCACATACAAGAACCCATAGTGGAAAGAGATCTTATGAATATAGGAATGTGGCAGAGCCATTAGTCAGTCCATAGCCCTCATTAAACATACAAATCCACAGTGGATAGAGTACTTATGAATGTAAAAATTTCCATGCAGTGTCACTGTACTAAAAAGAATTAGTTGACATTCAGCTATTTTAGGAGCTAGCATATGATCAAGAACCACTGGTATTGAAAGAGCAAGTCCCACACTGCACTGAAGGCACTGGCAATAAATAGGGCTCCAGACATTGGCAGAATACCGATTGCAATGTTTCAACAATGGGTGAAATGCTGGAAGTGCTTGCTCATATATGTCAAGAAATTTGGAGGACAGCTACCTTGCCAACTAATTGAAAGAGATTAACATCTGTGCCCATTCCAAAGAAAGGTAATTCAGAATGTAGAAGTTATTGGACAATATCATTAATATCACATGTAAGTAAAGTTTTGTTGAAGATATTTCAAAAATTGTTGCAGTACTACATCAACAGGAAATTATTGGAAAGTCATTTTGGATTCAGAAGACGTGGTACAAAGATATCATTATTGATATCAGATGTATCTTCAATGAAAGCAGATAGTATCAGAAAGATGTTTACCTGTGTTTTATAGATAACACAATGGCATTCATATCTCTGTGGTTCACAACAAATTATGTATACATTGCAAAGAATGGAAATTCCATAACACTTAATTGTGCTCATGAGGAACCTGTACATAAACAAAGGAGCAGTCAAGAGGTATTCAAGGAGAAAAAGGAGATACTCCATAGTTTAAAATCAGGAAAGGTGTGCATTAAAGTTGTAGACTTTTAGTACACTTAATCTATATCTGCACAAATAATCCAAGAAGCTGGACTGTATAAAGAACATGAGGATTGGCGGAAGACTCATTAAGAATCTGCAATATGCAGATGACATGACCTTGCTTGCAGAACTTGAAGCACTTACTGATGAAATCAAAGGCTACATCCTTGACTGTGGATTACACCTCAACATAAAGCAAAAATCCTCACAACTGGAGCAATGAGCAACATCATGATAGAGAAAATACTGAAATTGTCAAGGATTTTATTTTACTTGGAAGCGGCAGTCAAGAAATCATACGACATACTTCAGTGCCAAATCTACTGTAAATGACCTCTTTAAAATGTTAAGAAACAAAGATGTCACTTTGAAGGCTAAGGTGCACCTGACCCAAGCCATGGTATTTTCAGTAGCATCATGTGCATGTATACACAAGGTTTTTCATGGCCAAATTTTTCAGGAGTGGATAGCCTCATGCTTCTTCCAGTCTGTCTTAGTCTGGAAGCACCACTGAAACCTGCCCACCATGGGTGACCCTGCTGATATTTGAAGTACCAGTGGCATAGCTTTCAGCCTCACAGCAACACACAAGCCAGCACAGTACAACAAGCTGACAGATAAGTAGTATTTTCAGTTGCCTTATATTCCTCGGAAGGAAGATTGGGCAACCTACTTCCATAGTAACACCACCTCAGAAACCCAAGGAGGGGTCACTGTGTGTTGGATCTGACTCAACGGACATGAGCTTGGCTTGTTTTGTTTTGTTTTGTTTTATGCATGTGAAAGCTAGTCAGTGAATAAGGAAGACCAAAGAAGAATTGATGGCTTTGAATTGTGGTGTTGGTGAACAATACTGAAAATACCATGGACTACCAGGAGAACAAACAAATCTGTCTTAGAAGAGGTAGAGGTGAAATACTCCTTAGAAGCAAGAATGGCCAGGCTTCATCTCACCTTCTTTGATCATGTTGTCATAAGGGACCAGTCCCTGGAGAAGGATATCATGCTTAGTATAGTAGATCAGCAAAAAAGGGGAAGACCATTAACAAGAATACAAGATGGCAATATATATATAAAGTGATTTTTAATTCAAAACGTTAAAAAAAAAAAAAAATTCTACGTTTCAGATGCAATAGGGCAGCAAAAGGGCAACCATAATATGTATGCTGACAGATTTGACCACACCAGAATTATAAACTTTCACACATCCCCTCCGAATATAGACATAGAAAGAACATTTTAAAAAAGCAGTAAAATTGATTTTTTTAAAAAAACTTCAATTCTTTCTTTGATAGAATGCAATAAAAACAAGAATAAAACACTCATATCTCTACAAACAAAAGTAAAGTTCTTGAACAATTTGCAATAAAGTAGGTGACTAAGAAAGACACACATATATTCAGACTCACCAGTAATGAAATAGTTGCAAAGTGAAGCAAGGATGAAAACCTTTTCACCTATCTATAACAATTTTATTTTTTCACTTTAATACCCAAGCCAGGAGAAGACATTACAAAGTGTATGTCTCATGAATGCTGTTTTAAGATAGATAATATCACTTCCATTGGTCTGACTCTCAACAGTATGTACTCTCATCAGTACATAAAACTGCTGTACAGTTGTCTCCAACTCATGGCAACCCCATGTGTGTCAACGCAGTTCCATAGGGTTTTCAATGGCTTAAGTAACTAAGTGTGTATATGTGTATGTATGTGTGTGTGCACATGTGTACTGAAGAGGGTATCAGTATTACACTCACGTTAGTTGAACTTTAATTTTGTGCTATTTATGTAATCACAAGTTTATTCTTCTTCACTTCCTTTTCACTCATATTTCATCAGTAGATTAAGTTTGTAAATCTATTTTTTTCTGTTACACATTGATACTAAATCTATGTGAAAGGAAGGTCCTTTTCAGGAATGAGTAGACGCTGCCTTGCCTGGAGCATAAAATTATTTTCTCAAAATCCAACTGGATTTCTTTGTTTTCTATTATATATTATTATTTATTGTTGTTAGGCGCCAGCAAGTCAATTCCAACTCATAGCAACTGTTCTGGTTATGTAGTGCTGCTCTGACAAGAATATACCACAAAAGGGATGGCCTTAACAAACAGGAGTTTATTCTTACAATTTGGAGTCTTTAAGTCCAAGTTCAAAGTGCCAGGTTCTAGGGGCTGGGTGAAAGCCCTTCAACTTTGGGGTCCAGCTTGGCCTCCTGCTCCCAGCCCACTGGACCTAGAGGCATTTCTTCACTCAGACAGCTGCTGGCTGCTGAGGCTGAGAAGCCCCAGGGTAGACAAGTCAAAAGTCACAGTCCCGATGTTACCAAACCACATGGCAGGCCATTAACTTAAGTCCATTGTAAGTCCCAAGGTTGGCAGAGCATAGCAGGCTGCTGAGCAACAACATGGCTACATGCAGGGTCCAAGTGTGCCATAGGCTAGAGACCATTCCCAAGGCTTCTCCTTATATACAGGAAGCAGACCACATCCCAAAGGCACCTACTCAGCTGCTTGTGGTAGATCCCACCAAGGAGTTGATTGCCAGTCTCATCATGAGGAATAACTACCACCAGCTGCCCTGCCACTCAACCAGGCTCAGCTAAGTTGACACACAAACATAACTACCACGGCAATCTTATGTGCAACAGAATGAAACACTCCCTGTCCCATGCCCTCCTCATGATGGTTGTTTTGTGTGAGCCCATTTGTTGCAGCTACTTTGTCAATCCATCTCATTGAGAGTCTTCCTTTTTTTCACTGACCCTCTACTTTAGCAAGTATAGTGTCCTTCTCCAGGCACTGGTCCCTTCTGATAACATGTCCAAAGTAAGTGACACAAAGTCCATCCTCACTTTTAAGGAGCATTCTGGCTGTACTTTTTCCAAGACAGATTTGTTCTTCCTTCTGGCTGACCATGTATATTTAATATATTTTCCCAGCACCATAATTCAAAGCCATCAATTCTTCTCCAGACTTCCTTATTCATTGTCAAGGTTTTGCATGAATATGAGGTGCTTGAAAATACCATGGCTTGGATCAGGCATACTTTAGTCCTCAAGAAGATGTAGGGACCTCTGTACCACCAAAAAGAAGAGACCAGAGGGAAGCATGTCCGTTGGACTGGGGTCCCTGCACTCCTCCAACCAACAGACACAGAGAGATGAGAAGACAGACCAGGAGGGTGAGGAATGGCAGCAGGCCTTTATTCCTAGGCATCTCTGGGTGGATGTGAACCACCTTTGGGTTTGCAGTTGAGCAAGATGACTATTTGCATGACCAAAGGTCTCCAAAGAGAGCTCTGTGGTTCTGTGAGTCCAAAGGCTTTCCCTATCACAAGGTTCCCCTCTGACCCAGAAAAGATGAAGCTGGGAGTGTCTGTTTTGTTTTGAAGAAATATTTGCTTAACATATGACAGAGGGACCCAAATGAACTTAAGAGCAAAGACATGGAGATGCTCAAACTTCCAGAAGCCAAGCCATGCTCACTCGAGTGTACATAGAAGAACAGGCTTCTCAATTTAGGTCTATGATACAAATTAATTTGGGGGTATGATGTGAATGATGTATGGAGTCAAGGTTTATTTTTTTCTCATGTGCATATACTGTTAGTCCAGCACCATTGCTTCCATTTAATTCCTTTGGAAACTGGGAATTTATACCACTGTATCAATGTGAGTATATTTCTGACGTCTATGTTATTCCTTGATCTACTTGACTGTCTTTACACCATACAACACTTTCTTCATTATTTCAGCTTTATAGCAAGTTTTTGAGTAAATTTTCCCCCAAGATTGGTTTGCACAAAGCCTACATCTAACATCGTACTTAATGATGAAAGGTTGAATACTTTCCCCTAGCATAAAGGTGGCAATGAAAATATGCAACTCAGTAAGCCCAGTGCCATTAAAGAACAGTGGCCACTATGCCTGGACACTCCGGGATGGTCTGGTGAACAGCAAAGACCAGCGTTGGGGGAAGGTATTCAGAAGAGAATGTTTGGACCCCTGAACACACAATCAGTTAGGG